TTTTTTTTTTTTTTTAGATGGAGTTTTGCTCTTTTTAGATGGAGTTTCGCTTTTGTTGCCCAGGCTGGAGTGCAATAGCACAATCTCAGCTCACTGCAACCTCTGCCTCCTGGGTTCAAGTGATTCTGCTGCCTCAGTCTCCCTACTAGCTGGGATTACAGGCAGATGCTAATTTTTGTGCTTTTAGTAGAGACAGGGTTTCACCATGTTGGTCAAGGCTGGTTTCGAACTCCTGACCTCAGGTGATCCGCCCGCCTCGTCCTCCCAAAATGCTGCGATTATAAGAGTGACCGACTACACCCGGCACATTTTTACTTTTTTGAGAAGTTTAAACATTTGTCTTCAATATATGCTGGTACTCTATTATCAAAATAATAATCTGCATTAAAGATAACATATTTCTCCATTTTTTTTACTCTTTATCAAACTCTTAATTATATAGACTGCTCTTTACAATTGGAAAACTCAAATTTTGTGCAACTCAAAACAGCATTTTCATACAATGAAATCTGAGACAGCTGGAACGATTGCACATGTTGGTAGAAGCCAAGACAGTCTCAAGTTGAGAATTCTAGGCTCTACTCTTCCATTTTTTTTCCTAGGATGACACTAGTATATGAAGTTTCACTCTGCAGTTTCACTCTATAGGGCATGCTACATAAGTTATACACCTCTTTAAACTGTTTACTGAGGTTAATCCCAAAAGATAACAATCCTGAGCAGTTAGGGACCTCATATCACTGTCAGATGATCCCTACAAATTTAACAATGGAAAGGAAAAGGAACACAAAATCTGAAGTTTCACTTCCATAAATTGTTTCTTGTCTTTAAAAGGTATTATCTTTTAAGGTATTTCCTTTAAAAGGTTGATGCACAGGTTTCCATGTTGTCTCTGATTTGACAGATCATAGAGATTAGGAAGCACCATTAAGAGATGTGTAATTTGACAAAGCTGAAAATTAGCAACTTCGTTCATTCCCACAAATAATACAAGAAGCCACTTATAGACAATAATCTGGTTCCTGATATGTAAAAAAAACCTACAAACAGAGTCCAAAAAAGTGATTTATTATGTACTGCAGTTCAGCATCACTGGGTAAGACTAATGAAAATTATCTATGCTGCTTTCCACTTTCTCTAGCAACATGTAAGAGAAATAAGGGAAAACAAAAGTAAGAGCTCACCACTAGATATATATAGTTGCTACTCTGCACATGAAATGTGGCTCATGTGACTGAGAAACTCCATTTTCAATGCTACTAAATTTCGATTCACTTAAATTCAAATACCACTTGGGCTGGTGGCTACCATATTGGACAATGCAAATCTAGTGTTTATTCTTTCAAGATACATTTCTCGCCCTTGGGCTACTGTAAAAAGCAAGTTTATAATACCATAAAAGATACACATAGGCCAGGTGCAGTGGCTCACATTTGTAGTCCCAGCACTTTGGGAGGCCTAGGCGGGTGGATCACGAGATCAGGAGTTTGAGACCAGCCTAGCCAACATGATGAAACTCTGTCTCTCCTAAAAATACAAAAATTAGCTGGGCACGATGGCACACCTGTAGTCCCAGATATTTGGGAGGCTGAGGCAGGAGAATCACTTGAACCCAGAAGGCGGAGGTCGCAGTTAGCCGGGATCGCGCCACTGAACTCCAGCCCAAGTGACAGTGACAGTGCAAGACTTTGTCTCAAAAAAAAAAAAAAAAAAAAAAAAAAAGATACATGCAGTTGCTGTATCTTCTATCAGATAAACTCATTCTGAGTTTCAAAATAGCACAAAACTCTGGTAGTACTATTATATTTCTTTCAAAAATAAGTAAGTCCTTTACACTTCAGTTTGAGAAAAACAAATCTGTAAGATGAGCAAGTGTGGCAATAGCCGAAACAAAAATGTTTAATTCTTTAGAACTATCTTTCAAATAATTACTAAACTGAACTCAACCCCTTTCCTCAAGCAAAACAAACGAGGAGAATCCCAAAGAGTTAAAAAACTGATCTCTAAATAGAATTCACATTTACCAAAATGACATTTTTTCACCAAACATAACAATCCCATTTCTTAAGTAAGTTTCATAGTTTTACTCAGAATTTAAAATACCAATGGGATGTCAATGAAAGAAAACCTAGCCAGGCAAAGTGGCTTAGCCTGTAATCACAGCACTTGAGGAGGAATGATTAAAGTATTACTCACTCCTCGGCTCAAGAGGTCCAGGAGGCGGGCAGATCACTTGAGCCCAGGAGTTTGAGACCAGCCTGGGTAACATGGTGAAACCCTGTCATGTTGGGGTTATTTTTTTTTTACAAAAAATTAAAACCCATTATTTTTTATAAAAAGCTTAGCCAGGCATGGTGGTACACACCTGTGATCCCACCTAATGGGAAGGCTGAGGTGAGAGGATCCCTTGAGAGTCCATGAGATAACAGCTGCAGTGAATCATGACTGTTCCACTGAAACACAGCCTAGGAAAGAGTAAACCTGTTGAAAAGAAAAAGGAGAAGGAAGGAAGGGAGGGAGGGAGGGGACAGAGGAAAGAAATGAAGGAAAGAGAAAGAAAGATGGAAAGAAAAGAGAAAGAAGAAAGAGAGAGAGAGAAAGAAAAAGGAAGGAAGGAAGGGAGGGAAAGAAAGAAGAAAGAGAAAGAAAGAAAGTAAAAAAGAAAACCTAAAGAATCCATTTAACCCTTCCAGGCACCCTCGAGGGCTTCCCTGTAAAAGTCCCAAAAAGCCTGGCAACATTGTGACCAAAATCCTAGCTGTGAGGCTGAGGCAGGAGGATCTCTTGAGCACAGGAGATCAGCTTGGGTAACATGGCAAGACCCTGTCCCAAAAAAAAAGTCCTTAAGATCTCTAGCAATATATGCCAGTATTTAGATTATAGCTTTAACAATTCAGCAATAAAACGTCCTTCAAGCTTGGGTCACAGAGCATGAACTTTATTTGATTCGCGCTCTTTGCCCTCATGTATATCCTACACTAAGTACATAGAAAAATGATATTTATAAAACTATATTCCTTTAGACTTCCTTGCAAATCCGCAATTTCTGAAAGTCATATTTGCATTTGAAAATTGAATTTCCCTAGAGATGCTGGCTATCATAAAAGCAGAGACCTGATAGCTACTATTTTCGTGTCCTTCAGAGTTACTCATATCCTGTTTTCAATTATTTCTATTACGTGAAAGATTAAATCAATGTGTCATACGCTGTTACAAGGTAGTTCATGCCTGTAATCCCAGCACTTTGGCAGGCCAAGGAGGGTGGATCACTAGAGATCAGGAGTTCAAGACCAGCCTAGCCAATATGAAACTCTGTCTCTACTGAACATACAAAAAATAGCCTGGCATGGTGGTGGACGCCTGTAATCCCAGCCACTTAGGAGGCTGAGGCAGAAGAATCGCTTGAACCCGTGAGGCAGAGGTTGCAGTGAGCTGAGATAGTGTCATTGCACTCCAGTCTGGGCAATAGAGCAAGACTCAGTCTCAAAGAAAAAAAAAAGGAAGTATCAACATCATGTACCCAATATGACACCCTGAGATAGAAACTTTACTTCTGTAACATTTTTCCCAGAATATGGAACATTCATCTAATCATGACAGTAAACATCAAACAAATACAAACTGAGGGGCATTCTACAAATTAACTGACCGGGTCTTCTTCACTAGTGTCACCACGAAAAAACAGCGAAAGGCTGTGGAACTGTCACAAATCAGAGAAAATTAAGGATATTTAGCAGTTAAACACAAAGCGAGATCATTCATTCAAACCCGGGCAGAAAAGGGACGGTGGAAAGACGAGTGAAATCGAAATGAAGTCTGTAGTATAGTTCATTGTATTATAGTAGCATACCCATGTTATTAGTTTCTTTTTTCTTTTGCAAATTGTCAGTAACACTCAAATTATTTCAAAATCAAAAGTTATTATAAAGTAAATAATAAAATAACCAACACGTTTCAATGTTTATAATGGAAGGGTAATGTTAGACTTAACATGCCATTTGTGTTGTTGAAATCTTCCTCACCAAGATCTATACAATCCAGTCAAAGCTGCACTCTGAAAGCGTTGTTTTGCAAAGAATATCACATCAAAAACATCTCTTCCTTTTTACTCTCGCGTATTTACCACTAGCTGACATTCAAATGATAGGAGAGCTGTGAGATCCTCCTAAAAACCAAGCTTGAGAGGATGTCTGTAGCACTGAGAAGGGAGTGAGAGCACTCAACCCTTTATGTTCCCGGGATAGATAAATGACAAATTAGTCGTCAATATTTTAAAAATACTAGCTTTAACAAATTTTTCCTCCACCTGTAGTAACTTCTATGCTCAGTGGGTTTTTATCCATCCAATATCAACTTTAGCTTCATATATTTGGAGAAAGGCCAAGAGTTTTACAAACCCACATTTAACACACTATGGAACCCCGAATCAGTTTGCACCAGAGCATCATTTTCTGAAAAACCACTCTGAATTGTCAGTTTTAAGTTACACACCCACTTTCAAATGAAACTGAGAGAGGCTAAAAAAACGTAGTCATCTCGTTTCAACGGTTATCTATTTTCAAACAAATACATACACAATGCCCACGGACCTTTCCAGACACCCACACTCAGCGCATTGGCTTTTACCATTTACTCACTCAGCTTAATAGCGCTCGGACTTAACCACAGGCTCAGGGTCTCCGGATGCGAACGCTCAGAGGCAGAGCTTTAACGATCATTGATATAAATGTTGGTAAATCATCAATGTAAATTGTGTGAGCCGGAGCGTCCTAACAAACCCTAAAGCAGCGGTTTACCCTTAACAAGGCCACCAAGCTTGTGCACAGTGCATTCCCAAATCCTCCCCAGCTCCTCTGCAGGCTGCCTCCTGGCCAAGTCTCAATCTCAGCGGGAGTGGCGGGAACGCTCTCTTCCCACAGCACACAACCCGTCCGCGGCACAACCCCTTCCCAGGACCACACCAGGCGTGCCCACGCGCTCCCCTGGAGCCGGACACTCACCCGCGTGGCGGTCGGCGAAGACACTATCGGAACCAGCGGCGGTCGGCTGCCTCAGGAGACCCGGACATTGGCTGAGCTCAAGCAGCGCCTAGGGCTGTGGACAGCCAGAGCACAGCGCTCTGGCCCCTCCCCCGTGTGCCTGGTTTCCCCTGGGTCGGGGTTCGCCGGCCGGGGTTAGGCGTGGCACCGCCTGCCTGGCCGCGATAACCGCCCTGCGACCCCGCTGAGAGCGCACACATGTCCCGCGGCGCTGAGCTGCCTGCTGGACGGGAACCGCCCTCCCAATGGACTAGGGCCACCGAGACGACTATGCCAGGACACGCAGGGACAAGCCAAACGGGGATAGTACGAAATAGATCGGGGTGATTAACTCCGAGAATCACCTGGCGCTCATCGGGCTGATCAATACCTCGTCTGATCTAGATGGGTTTGATCGCCGCCAGCGGCTGGAGCGCCGAAGCACCGGGGACGCTGACGCACACGCTGGCCAGCCACAAGGGCTCCTCACCCCCAGAGCAAGTAAGTGGGTGGTTTCTGGTGAATGGGCTTCTAAGAAAGTGAATGCTTGCGCCCCAGGGCCTTAAAGAATCAGAGACTGAATCTAACCCAGGGAGGGAAAGGGGAGAAACCTTGAATGAAAATATTACCATAGTTTAAACATTATTCTTCACACTCCTGTGATTGATGTACTTCTGTGCAATATTCTGATTGTGTGGAAAGGCTGGAAAATGATTGTGTAGGTTTAGGAAAGGAGCCCTCAGGCTTTCTGAGTATAGCCATTCGAACATCTACCTTCGGGTACATGCATCTACCCCAGGAAATTAGTACCTGCATGCAGATATTTTCTGGTTTGTATTTACAAACAAAAATCATGATATCACTTAAATTGTTTAAATCAGCACTAGGAATAACTTATTAATTGTTCACACAATGCAGGAAAGTTTTAGCCAGGAAGCCTACATAAGAAAATTGACGGTACATAATTTTTTTAAAGAATTTTTAAAATACCATACCGCATGCTTTTTAAAAGAAATTTAAGATATATATTCATGATGTGCCCCAACATTTGGGTAAAATTATTCTTTTGAATTAATTTCTGTCAGTTTCAAGACCCTTAAAGACCCATATAGAAATACATTTTAGTCATACTTCAGTTTAAGGCCATCATGGTGGCTCATGCCTGTATTCCAGCACTTTGGGATGCCAAGGTAGGCGGATCACTTGAGGCCCGGAATTGGAGACCAGCTTGGCCAACAAGGCGAAACTCTGTCTCTACTAAAAATACAAAAGTTAGCTGGGTGGGTGGCAAGCCACTTGGGAGGCTGTGGTCGTAATCCCAGCTACTCAGGAGGCTCGGGAACAAGAAGTGCTTGAACCCTGGAGGCCGAGGTTACAATGACCCAAAATCCTACCACTGCACTCCAGCCTGGGCCACAGGGTGAGACTCAGTTTCAAGAAAAGAAAAAAAAATAAATAAGATAAAATTTTCTTTTTTTTTTATTATACTTTAAGTTCTGGGGTACATGTGCAGATCATGCAGGATTGTTACACAGGTATACACATGCCATGGTGGTTTGCTGCATCCATCCCCCTGTCATCTACATTATATATTATAAAGTTTTCAGACCTGGCCTTTAATGATTGTTTGCGAAAACTGAAAAATCTCCAAAGAATAAATTTTATTTTAATTTTCTTTTTAGCTCACCCAGACAAGTGAAAAGAATAAAATTTTATGACACCAGAAAAAGTGAAAACATTTCCACCAAGATCTGAAGGCACTAAGGAGGAGACCTAATAAAAATGGAGAAAACACACATGAAATTAATTTTTTAAAATGGGTACTAAGTTGAACATAGCATTCTGTAATTATGTAAAATAAAAACAAATCAAAAACCTAAACATAGAGGCCAGGCACAGTGGCTTACACCTATAATCCTAGCACTTTGGGAGGCCAAGGTGGGTGGATCACCTGAGGTCACGAGTTTGAGACCAGCCTGGCCAACATGGTGAAATCCCGTCTCAATTAAAAACACAGAAATTAGCCAGGCATGATGGTGCATGCCTGTAATCCCAGCTACCCCAAAGGCTGAGGTAGGAGAATCGCTAGAACCAGGGTGGCAGAGGCTGCAATGAGCCAAGTTCACGCCACTGCACTCTGGCCTGGGCAACAAAGCAAGACTCCATCTCACCAAAAAAAAAAAAAAAAAAAAAAAAAAACGAAAAGAAAATTGCAGGGCAAGGAGTCATAGCTCACCCCTGTCATAGCTCATCACTTTGGGAGGCAGAGGCCAGAGGATCGCTTGAGCCCAGGAGTTCAGGACCAGCCTGGGCAACATAGTGAGACCCCATCTCTACAAAAAAAATTTTTTTAATTATACTGGGTGTGGTGGCTCACACCTGTAATCCCAGCACTTTGGGAGGCTAAGGCCAGAGGATTGCTTGAGCCCAAGAATTTGAGACCAGCCTAGGTGACACAGGGAGCCCCTGCCTCTTAAAAAAAAAAAAAAAATTTAGTTAGCTGGATGTGATGGCACATGCCTGTAGACCTAGCTACTTCTGGGGCTGAGGTGGAAGGATTGCTTGAGCCTGGGGGTTCAAAGCTGCAGTGAGCCATGATCAGAGTGAGACCCAACTCTTAAAAAAAAAAAAAAAGAAGGCCGGGCGCGGTGGCTCAAGCCTGTAATCCCAGCACTTTGGGAGGCCAAGGCAGGTGGATCACGAGGTCAAGAGATCGAGACCATCCTGGTCAACATGGTGAAACCCCGTCTCTACTAAAAATACAAAAAATTAGCTGGGCATGGTGGCACATGCCTGTAATCCCAGCTACTCAGGAGGCTGAGGCAGGAGAATTGCCTGAACCCAGGAGGTGGAGGTTGTGGTGAGCCGAGATCACGCCACTGCACTCCACTCCAGCCTGGGTAACAAGAGCAAAACTCCATCTCAAAAAAAAAAAAAAAAGAAAAGAAAAAAAAAGAAAGAAAGAAAGAAAGAAAGAAATAGCAGGAAAGTGTTCATTTTTTTCTAGGTAGTAACATGGAATGTCTTTTATCTTGTATTTTATTGTAATTTTCTAAATTTGATGTAACAAATTTAGAAAATTGTAACTTTTATAATGAAAAAGTGGATTTTGTTTAAAATAAATTGAAAATATACATATAAAGACACGTGACAATACTTAGAGTCATATCCTCACTTGAAATAGGACTAAAACTAAAAAAATTTCTGGCTTATTTTTAGTCTAATTGTAAAAATATTTTAATTATAGTTTTTTCATATTTATAAGTCTGTTTATTTGTTAACTAAAGTTATATTGGGGACAGTGGTAAATTAAATAAATAAAAATTAAAGCTATATACCAATATATACTAGGATGAGATTCCTAACATATATTAGGTTCCTAACCTCATCGTAATACTTTATCAAATTCTATTTGATAAGTTCAGATTAAGGCCAGCATTTTATAAATGTATTGCATTGTATAGAAATGAGTCCTTTTAACTTATAAGTTAGCATTGTTTATGGAGCTAGTCAGAGAATTTTAGAGAAAAAGGACCTTCCTCTTTAGGTCAGATGTTAGATGACCTTCCTCATTTTATAGATAAGTCACTGGTCCAAAGGAGACTGATTCACACAAGGTCGAAGGTTAAATGACTCAGTCTTCCAGGCCACTGCCATCTGCCCTCCACCATATGACCTCTCTTTTATCTTACCAGACAAGAGTCACTGCCCAGTATTTACAGAGCCCCATATTGGGACTTCTGCAGAATGCCTGTGCATCAGTTGCAAAGAGTTGTTAAGGCCCCAATATGGCACATTTCTTAGTGCTTACTCCAAAGGTGAAGTCCAGAATGGTCAATTTTCCCCTGGCAAGTTCAGGTTTCAGACAGAATTCACCATGGGCCTGGTTACATATATAATGGAGGTATTCAGTCCAAGTGTATCTATTTTCACTACCACTCCAAGTTAAAATACAAAACAGTAGAAGAGAGGCTCTATGCACAGTATCCCTCACAGTCTGCCTCACAGCAATCAGGGCCTTTGACTAATTTGGCAAGAGAAAGTTCAGTCTATAATGGTGCAAAAAGTTATTGTAAATAAAATAATGGAAACAGTTTAAACAACTCTTCCTAAAGATTTCAGTATAAAAGGGAGGTGAGGGAAAGGAATATAGCTAGAGGCTCTCTTAGGGTTCAGAGAAAATATTCGTTTGGTTTGAATTAGACGGGCTAGAACATGTGTGCATGCCAGAAGGACAAGCTATAAAGAAAGAAAGGTGGTTATTGGTAGTAATGGGATCCAGAGGAATTAGAAAAGAAAAGGGAAACTTTAGAATCCCTCATGCTCTTCTTTTCTAACTTGGCTCAGGCAGAATGGCTCCCACAAAGAAAGGTGGTGAGAAGAAGGGCCATTCTGCCATAAACGAGGTAGTGACCCAAGAATACACCATCAGCATTCACAGGTACATTCATAGAGCGGGCTTCAAGAAGTGTGCCCCTGGGGCACTCAGAGAGATCCGGAAATTTGCCGTGAAGGAGATGGGAACTGCAGATGTGTGCATTAATACCAGGTTCAACAAAGCTCTCTGGGCCAAAGGAATAAGGAGTGTTCCATACCACATCTGTGTGCATTTGTCCAGAAAATAAGGATAAAGATTCATCAAAACAAGCTCTATAATTTGGTATGTACCTGATTACCTTTGTACCTGTTACCACTTGCAAAAATCTATAGTCAATGTGGATGAGAACTAACCAGCATCAAATACATCAAAGTTATAAAATGGCCTTTATTAAAAAAAAAAAAAAAAAAAAAAAAAAAAAAAAAAAAGATATGGTTTTGCTATATCCCTACCCAAATCTCATCTTTTTTTTTGAGATGGAGTCTTGCTCTGTCACCCAGGCTGGAGTGCAGTAGCGTGATCTCAGCTCATTGCAATCTCTGCCTCCCGAGTTCAAGAAATTCTCCTGTCTCAGCCTCCTGAATAGCTGGAATTACAGGCATGTGCTACCACACCCAGCTAATTTTTATATTTTTAGTAGTGATGGGGTTTTGCTATGTTGGCCAGGCTGGTCTCAAACTCTTGACCTCAGGTGATTCACCCCCTCAGCCTCGCAAAGTGCTGGAATTACAAGCAT